GATACTGCCACCATCTGTTCATTCTCCTGCCACCTTTTCAACTAGGGTTTATCCCAACCTCCTCATTTCACAGAGAAAAACAGAACCAGTGTGAACAGAAACAATGCACTTGGGAAGAGTGAGCCGAGGCTCTTTTATCAATGTAGCTGGTTGAGCTTCGGTAGCCACAGGGGACCTGACTTTGAGGACACAAAACACAGGATCCTTCATGGTTCACAGTGGTGGTGTTAGGGAGAGGCAATGAGCCTTGCACCGTAGGTAGAACACGATGCAGAGAGTTATCAGGGAGAGAAGGGCCCAGAAGACTGGGAAAATGATAGTGGTGTCAAACAGGAAAATTACACTAAATTATACCCTGTCTATTTTACATTTTCCTCAGTCTCCGTCCTAGCCACAAGTGCACTGCAGTCATATTTAGAGATACAGCTTATCTTGCTTTTTGAAAAGTTTTTCTTAATATTTGTCCTAGGGTCCACAGGAAATGAAAAACTCAAGGCATCCCTAGTCCTCTCCCCGCAAGTCACCTGCTATGAATACCTACATTCATTCTTCGAAGCATTTACCACTCCCTGGAATGCCACATATTTATAAGCTGTCTCCACACATTAAGAATAAGATGTATAGAGCAGGAACCTGTCATTCTTCTCCATCCTATCTTCCCAGTGCCTGCCTCCGTGCCTGACACACAGCAGGTGCTCCAAAGGAATAAATAAATTAGGAAATCCTACCGCCTGCTTCTAGCATGTAATATCTACTACCCTGGAGTGGAATGAAAGGGTTATTAAAATACCCAATTACAGCCTCAGGTCTTTCCTTCTAGTGTGGAAAGTCTACGGCAAGAACCAACACAAATTAAAGTGTCTAAAAAATCAATTGGGGCAGGCATCTTCTTCTGAACTACATTTACTAGAGCCTGCCACCCACAGATGTCAAAGGAATTCACAGGATTAAAAGAAAAGGCTGGAGGTGAGAAAGTTAATAACTACTCTTGCGACATCTACGGCTGGGCTGCAAGTGGTCAGCACATGGACCTCTCCATATATGTTGTTAGATGTCAAGGACTGGCTTTACAGATAGACAGCCTTGGACCCCAGTGCTAAATCTTCCACTTATTAGCACTGTGATCATGGGCAAGTTATTTAACCTCTCCAAACCTCTATTTCCTAATCTCTACCACAGAGATAACAGTAACTACTTCACAGGGCTGTTATGAGGCTCCAATGCAAGAATATATGTAAGCAACTAGCTCAATGCCTGGCATACAATGGTAACTGCTATTACTATTGTTATATGAGCTATTGATATTTTTATCTGATCCCAGATAATACTCAATAATCAAAGTTAATCTCCATCTGCTTTTCTGAACCAGGAATTACTGCTTTATCCTGGGATTACTATAAGGTCAAGATGGCAAGTGAGTTTCAGCTCATATTCCGAGTCACATGGATTTCAAGTGAATGCTTGGGGGCTGGTTGAGATGCACTGTGCTGTGATTGATTGTGACATGTGCCAAGGGTGTGGAGCCAGGCTTGTTGGTTGGTTCTAATATTAGAATTGGTAAGCCTCTTGTAGTAGTATCACGGAGACTAACAGCTATTTTAATATTACATAATAAAGCATAGAGAAATCAAAAGAATGGGCTAGGAGTCAGATGGTTTAAGTTCTAATTTTAGCTCTTCAACTAACCGGTGAGAAGATCAGAATATGCTACCCCAAATTATGACACTCTGGCATGAAGATTATTTTGAGCTGAAAGCAACTGAGAAACAACAGAAAAAGCTCTCTACCTTCCCCCTATCTGGCTATAAGCAAGGCATACATTTCCCCTTGCAAAGGTACCCTCTGCCCCAACCCATACCAGGAAGAGGAGACAACACTTATCACTACAGATGGGCACTGACTTAAATCTGCTAAAACAAACCTTATTGAAGTAACCCTTGTCTTCCATTAGTTCCCACATACATTTACCTTCCCACAATTTATGGCCCCTAGAAGCCTCAAACCATTTTCCTTTATTTTGTCACTTCTCCATAAGTTTATTGCACTTTGTTAAAATGGTATATAAGTCTCCAGATCTGATGACCTTCCTGGGGGTTTTCACTTAATTTCTGTGAGGCCCCCTCATATACATATAAAATAATCCTTTCTCTCCTGTTAACCTGTCTTTTGTAAGTTTATTTTGTGGGGCCCCAGACACTGAATATAAGTGGGTAGAGGAAGAAGTTGGGTTTTTTCCTCTCTAACACTGAGTAAGTGATTTTAATCCAGTCACTTCTCTTTCACTGTAAAGTTATTTCCAATTGAAGTACTGTGATTTGCTGATACTGATTTTTTAAAATGTAAGTAAAGTAAAATACATACAGCTCTGACAGGGTCTGGGGTACAGGATGGGTATTTTTTGTGATTATTTGAAAGAAAAATAAAAGCACAAGGCTATTATATGGAACTGTAACAGTTAAATATTTTCTGTCCTCATTCAAAAAGATTGACTCTTCCTATCAATGAGAAATATATTCACAATGAGAAAAAATCGTAATATTTTTGGCACTAAAAAAAAAATCAGCAAATGCTTAGTAATTCTCCAAGAAAGACAAGACTGTTGTGAATATGGCGGCTCTTTAATAACCAAGGCACCATTTAAAAATAGCTAGAATTAATTACAGGGCTAATGACCCATTGAAAGGCTTATTTAAATACCAAAGCCAGCACTGAACAATCATGGAAAATATGGCTTAAAAGGGCTTTAGAGAGCAGAAACCAGGAACCGCAGTTGAAACAAAAAACACATTATCCTAGAACTCTAGCTACTTTGGTAAGAAACATTCAGGATGTGAAAAATCTCAGGGGAGTTCTCAGGCTGGGTAAGAGAAGCCACTAGGATCAACAGACAAGAAGATGACATACGGTCACCTGTTTGGAAAAGAAGGACTGCTATTTAGCATTCACCCAAAGAGAAGAGAGAAGAACACTTCTAAAACCATTCTCCCCCAGCCATCAAGGCTTTCTTTCCCCCATGCTCACCCCCTGCTTTTCTGATGTAGCCACCCATTTTTAATGTACCATAGGATAAAATGAAAATTTCCACAGAGAAGAAAAAATATATTTTAATAAGTCTCTGTGGCCATTTTAGAGCTGCATTATCTCCAAGAGTTTCCTGTGTCTTGGTCCTCTGTGCCCTGCATCCACGCCATCATAAGCCAAAGAAGAGGTGATAATCTTCAGTGTGCCCTACTTGCCAGGCAAAAGTGATGCCACTGCAGTTCTTAGCTTCTCTCTGTACCAAAATGGCCTTTCTGTACATCAGTATCCTGGGAGCACACCAGGTGGCCAGAGCTGAAACAGTTTCATTACTTCATTCATGGCCATTGATTAAATGCATTATTCTTACCCTTATTTACTATGGCCTAGACATGCCTTGTAGTTGCCTTGCTAAGTTAAAAGTGTAATAAAATCAAAAGCTTCCAAAGCCCTTGAGAGCTCAAGGTGGGGAGGTAGGAGAGGGAGTGAGGCACTCTCGACACATATTGGTTAAGGAGCAAATATAAATTTTAGTATAAATTGCCGTTCACAATAACGCTTTTAAACCAGCAATTATTTATACTGTACTACTCGAGAAACCCTATAATTATTCTGAAAGCACTTGCCAACGTCTACCCTGTTTCATATTTGCCAACACAGCCTTGTTCAAAAGAATTAGTGGCGATGTCAAAATTGTGCTTGGTACTAGGGTTACTGCTTGAAACAAGAAGTGATTGCACGATGTTGGGATATTCAAGGAGAATGGGGCCAATAAAGTACCCTAAGAATGAAATTGTCTTGTATTCATATTCACAGGTGGGAAGAAAAGGAAGGTGGTGGTTGAAAGGGAAAAAAATTGCTTGAATTTTTTTTCCTTTTTTTTTTTTTTTTTTTTACTACTTTCCCAAGAAATACTGTCATCTGTTGAGCAAAGTGACTTTAAGAAAATGTTTTTTCAAATGCTGGAAATGGTAGTGATTTGAAGGAAAAAAGATAACCCACTTCTCCCTCTTCCCCACTCCTTCCTGCCTGGAAAATGTTTCTATTTCCGGCCTTTACTCCTGATATTTGTAAGTGAATCTGGGTAGTGACTGTAGAACCTCGGCTTACACATCTCAAAACACCCATCTGTGCAGGTCACTTGACTTTGCTGACCTATTTTCTGCTGTTTCTTTCTGTTACACAAATCTCCCCCACTTGAAAGAGCAATAGTCCCTCTACTTTCCAATGAAGCACAGACAGCAGAGAGATTTCTCACTCTCTGTAAATGCAGAAGCTTTTGGAGTGTCTGGCATTTCAGGTGAGTGTTTAGGAAAAACCGGATCTCATCCTGGGTGTCTCTCTCATCTTTATTTCATGCTTTCTCTTCTTATAAACCCACCCAATTGTGGACAAGGGGATCTGTGTTCCCCATCGCCAAGTGAAAATACATTCTAAATCTACCCTCAAAATTGAGGGTGCTGTGCAAAGTTTCATAAATAGAAACAGGCAGGAGAAAAATCTGGCTTGACAACTTCTGAATTTAAGCCATTTATTCTCACCTCCACCCCATTTCTATCCCGCCTCTTCTCTTTTTTGAACACGTCATGTCAAAGCAGAGAACTAAGGCAGCTACCTAAAATAAACTTTGTATTACTTGTCTAAATATTTCAGGGAAGTGTTTTTCCTATTCTGAGTGTCCAGGCTATTTTCTCAGTTCTCGTGTTCACTCTGCAGGTGAAGATACTGTCATTGACTGGGGAATGTGCCTGTGGACCATAACCCAAAGGCGGCATCTTTTGTGATAAAAGAGGTATAACCCTGTTTCATGAGTCTATTGGCCAGGAAAGAGATCCTCTGTGCCTGGAAGTTCACGGCTTCCCCTTTCTCTTCATCATTTCAGGTTCTGCGGGAGGCTCCATCTTTGATTCAAACCTCACATCTTCCTAAAAGCCTTCGTAAATGAAGAAACCTTGCAAATTACAATAGATGTTTCCCCTCACCATTCATGTATCTAGTTTGTACTTCCTTATCTTCCTTTTGTGAATACAGTGGCTTGCCATTTTGCCTCGAGGAACACTTGTTTGTCCACCCCAATCCAGTGATAAAGGAGAAGGAAAAGATTTATCAGATCATGTATTTATGCACAGTACATCCCCAAACGCTTCAGCAGCAATAAGTACCCAAAAAAGTACTGTTTAGGTAGCCAACTCCCACTGTCTAATTTAATCCCACTGAGACTGGATGTGTCTTTTTCTCCTTTTGTTCTAAAGAAACTTCTACTACTATTTGCTGGCAGGAATAACTTTCTGCCACCTGTAGTACTCTCTGCTTCTGTGAAGGCTGAACTTCAAGTTGCTGTGAAAGAATTTGCATTATCTCTCTATAGTCATACCTAAAATTAACCCACTGTCTTAAGTTAAATAAGATCTAGAATGCTCACAACTGTTATGGTTATCGGAGAACTAGAGAGTGGGGCTTTCTGGCACTACAAGAGGATGTAGAAGATGACACATGTGGTTTGGCCTTTATTTGGAAGCAGCAAAAATCACAGAGGTGGTGGTTACAAGACAAAAAAGGCCAGGGGAGTGAACACAAAGTTTTGGCTGAGTTACTTTGTACTATTATGTAATGAGATACAAGTTCAGCCTTGCTTGAGTTTAAATAACCATAATGAACTGTTACAAACTCTGGGATGGAGACATTATAAACATAGGAAATTCTGTACTTGGTCCTCCAGTTGGTCAAGTCTACCTGTATTCATAAGGAACACATTCATTCCCTTGGGCTACAAGAGAAACATTCTGCAAACTGGAAATAGAAGTTACTCTCTGGATAGTTCTCTCAAAGAATATAATGAAGTAAATCCGAACTTCAGAAATCTCTGTGATCATGTATTTTAGAACATCACCAGAGCAAACAGCAATGAATCTCAGCTGATTAGAGCTTTAGTAAGTAATTGGGATAGCTGAATATCCAAATAGCTGGATTTTTATCCAAGTAAACACATGAAAACAAAGACGGCAGTTATCATAAATATTTTTAAAGGAATATTTCTAAATTATGACATATTTCTCTTCTTTTTAGAGAATTCTGAATAGAATTTACTTTCCTGATGATAAACAGTCATCAGAAATTTTATTTTAAAATTTATTAGAAATTTGGAGAGCAGGATGTCTAGCCTCTGAATGGGAACCTTAGTAGTGCCAATGACGAAAGAGAGAATTAAATATGGGTGATGTTGAGAAAAGCAAGATTTTTGTCTAGAAGTATGCCCAGTGCCACACTGTGGGAAAGGGAGGCAAACACAAGACTGGGCCACATCTCCATGGTCTCTGGACAGAGGACAGCTCAGGCCTTTGGATTCACTTACACAGACGCCAGTGAAAACAAAAGCATCACCTGGGGACAGGAAACACTGATGGAGTATTTGAAGAATCCCAAAAAGTTCATCCCTGGAACAAAATTGATCTTCACTAGCATTAAGAAGAAAGCAGAAAGGGCAGACTTGATAGCCTATCTCAAAAAAACTAACGAGCATTAATTAGTTGGCCACTGCCTTGTTTATTACAAAACAGGAACATCTCATGACTTTTTAATGTGTACCATGATTTAATAGATCTCATATACCAGAATTCAGATCATTAACATCTGACAGAATATTTTTGTTGGGCAGTCCTGTTAACTAAGACTGGATTGTGGTTAAATGAGTATGTTCGATGTTTCTTTGAATTTTGATAGTAATTTTGATTCAGTAACTGCTGTCACTGTTTCCCCCTTCTGAAGATATGGTTGGACTTCATTAGTAATGTTCAACTTTTCATAAAGATGAATACACCTTAAAACCTATCGGAAACTGGTTTTATGTTTAGATTTATATAACTAGTTATGTGAATATATTTAAATACTGGGGAAATTCCTTCACTGTCTCAGAATCAAGCAAGAGTCACCTGTATTTTGTGTTCTTTTGCCTCTTACAGGCAAGGGCTGAAGACAAGGTAGCAATGTCTACTTTATATTTTTGGCTTTGACTATGCCAATCTAATTAGAATTCCCTGTATCTAAAATGGTTTCCTTTACTTATAGAAAGGTATTTTAGTGTAGACTTTAGAGAAGTGCAGTATTTAGAGTGATATTATACACTAAAGTGTGATAGTTGAGAAGAGTTAAATATTTTTTATTTGATATTACACTTTGGCATGTACTGTAATATCAAATATACTTTATAAATAATAAAATCTTATAAATAACAAAATCTAATAAAAATCAAATAAAGAAATTTAATATTACACACCAAAGTGTAATACCAAATAAAGAGTATTTTACTCTTCTCAAAAAAATCTACTAGACACTTATGAAAAAAGTATTAAATTATTGTTTACGCTATAATGCTCTGAAGGCCTTCTAAGATTTATATGACATTTTGGCCCAACACTAAGTGCCCTGGTTGTTTTCCTTTTTATGTTTTTTCTTCCTCCTTCATCTATTGTTTTCCTTCTTTCTGTAGTCATATGCTAGATCTTATGAGGCCCTCCCTCTACTTGTAATTAATATTTTGTCTTAGAATTAGCTATGTCTTGGAACCCAACCAGATAACTAAGCTTGTGTAAAAACCAATTATAAATAGGATGTACTGGGTCTAAAGAGATTTTCTCTGAAATCAAGTGCATGCACTGTAGTGCTTGAACTTTGGGATTCTGTTTTGGCAACCTAAAGGCCTATGTGCTGACTTCCTAACTTCTCAGATGGTTTGTGACAGCGAAGGTTGCGAGAGGACAGATTCATCACAGGTGAGGTATTGCTGTAGTAGGAAGGCAAAAAAGGTAATTGAAAGACCCTGTTCTTCAAATTACCAAGAGAAAGATGTCGTGCAGGGAATAGGACAATCAACTTTCTGTTATTTGCATTACGGCTTGATAATTATCACAAGTACATTCAGTTTGAGAGTTTCTCCATCTCTTCTCAATGCCTTCAAATAGATATGTTATAAGACATGGCAAATTGATTATTTACCTAAGCAAGGCCAATGTCACGTTCCAAAAATATTTCAAAGCCAAATACACATAACTTTATAAATTTGGCCACTGTTTTTTTTTCCCCTTGACTGTTTTATTCTTGATTGCAATAGCCAAGAGTTAATATAGTTGCATTTTCTTAAGGAAACAACATAAGTTCTAACAAGAAATCTGTGAAAATGAATTTGTGATTTTAGTTCATTTTTGGATGATATCAACCAATCATTGTAGTACGTACCTGGCAAAGCAAAAAGTTTATCACGGCAACTCCTTATTTTGTTCCCTATGAGACTGTATTATATTTGGATCTCTCTAGAACATTTGACTCCCTTCTTAAGGAGACTGATGTTGAAAATTGTCATATAGCCACAAAACGCAGTCCATTTTATATTAACATGTGAGTATGTTTCTAAAATTTTTTTCTTTTCTTTTGTTTGTGTTCTCAAGAGTGCTTTCTATAACAAATTCATGTGACATAAACAGGGCCAGCTTGCCCTAGTTACACCCTTACTATTTCATTAACACAGGAACTGGGCTACTATTCTGTTTTTGTTATGCTTATGCTGAATAACTGTACTTAGCCAGCTGCCATGACTTGTCTGTAATCCCAGCACTTTAGGAAGCCAAGGTGAGAGGATCACTTGAGCTCAGGAGTTCAAGACCAGCCTGGACAACATAGTGAGACCCTGCCTCAAAAAAAAAAAAAAAAATTAGCCGAGTGTGGCGGTGCCAGTCTGTGCCTGCCTGTAGTCTTGGCTACTGGCGGGGGAGAGGGGCCTGAGGTGGGAGGATCACTTGAGCCTGGGTCACGGCTGCAGTGAGCTGTGGCAACAGGGCAAAACCCTGGGTGACACAGCAAGATGCTGTCTCAATAAAAATAAGTACCTAACTGTATTCAAATGGCTTTCTTCTTCTAATGTGGCTGCCTGGGCAATTTGTCCATCTTTCCCCAGCAGCAGCTGCTAATGTTTAAGTGTAATTTTAGACTAAAAATTTTTTTAATTAAAAAAATTAAAAGTTACACCAGCTTATTGAAGCAAATATAGAAAATACAGAGAAGTATAAGGAACAAAAAATAAAACATATTGTCTTCACTGCAGAGACAACGAAGTCTTTAAAAATGTACATGTCTGTCTATACACATCTGTACTCACACATGAGCACACACACATGCTGGCAGTGATGTTTTAAAATGTAAGTGTTTTTATACATGGGAAGTTTTAAATTGTGTTTTTTAAAATATTGGAGAATGCAAAATAATAATAAATGAGGCGTAATTGTAATTGTGATGACAAGAAAGCAATAAAAAAAAAGTTAAACTCTTTAACTCTGAAACTAATGTAAGATTTTTATCCCATGTTGTAGATCCAGGAACACGTGAGGAAGATGCTTTAACTACAAGATGGCTCTCAAGGTTTTTGGACCCCCTTCCATAATGTAATAGATTCTGAATTGTAAAATACCAATACAGTTTTTAAAAGGGTCAAGAAATACAGAAGGAAAGTACATCTCAAGCTAAAACTTTATCCATTGAGAAAAGAAAAATAGCTCAGAACCATTTGAGCTATACGAGTTATGCAAAATTTATCACACCCTGAGAGACATGATATGGGACTTCAGTCACGCTCCCCCCATGCAGGAGTGGTGGTGGGGAACTATTTAAAGCCGTTTGGTTTCTGACTAGATGCTGCCTCCATTATCTTCATGTTACTGGGATCTGTGGTACAAAGAACAATAGCTTATGGGTTTATAAAAAAATTATTTTTTTCTTTCTTTTGAGATAGAGTTTTGCTCTTGATGCTGAGGCTGGAGTACAGTGGCGTGATCTTGGCTCACCACAACCTCTGCCTCGCAGGTTCAAGCGATTCTTCTGCCTCAAGCCTCCTGAGTAGCTGGGATTACAGGCGTGCACCACCACGTCTGGCTAATTTTGTATTTTTAGTTTCACCATGTTGGTCAGGCTGGT